TTAGACAACATATGGGAAAGCACCTAGCACTGTGCCTGAAATTTAGGCACTTAGCCAAATCGAAATCTTTATGCAAATTTCCATGGGTTTTAGTGTTATGAAATAATTGCTATTTACCATAAAATGTCTCCCAATTGTATCCCATGCGAAATTTGTTCCATGAGCTATTCTGGGGTGGGGTGGTGGTAGTTCTAGAGTCAAATCAAGTGGAGATATGCTGTATAATATTTCCCTGTCTTGGAGACTCCCACTCCATACAAGCATCTCCGCAATTCTAGGTTGTGATGCAGTTAAACAGCATACAAACTAGCTAGCCAGCTAGCCACAACTTGATCAAGACTTCCTAATGCCTTTTTTTAAATTGCATTTTCACCTTATTTTTTTTTAAGTTTGTTTATTTACTTATTTATTTTATTTATTTATTTAGAGCAAGCATGTGCATGCAAGCAGGGGAGGGGCAGAGAGAGAGGGAGGGAAAGAATCCCAAGCAGGCTCCACTCTGTCAGTCCAGAGTCCTATGTGGGGCTCAATGCGGAGCTGATCCCCAAAACCATGAGATCGTGACCTGAGCTGAAACCGAGTCAGGCGCTTAACTGCCTGAGCCACCCAGGCGCCCCATCCTAACACCTTTTCTAATGGAATATCTAATGACCCTTCATTATTGATATTCTATAGATATGTTGCAATAGCAAAAAACTTACTAGCAGTCAAGATCCTGAACAATCCCACTGAACATGGGTCCTTCTTGGTTTTTGTAAAAGAGCCTCCTTTCTGCTCCAGATTGCACCAGTGGTCCCTTTAGCTTTATTACAGAAGGTTTTCACCCCCTCCAAATGCATGGAATATTAATCTATTAATCCTGTCTCAGCCAAACAAGAACATGAAATTACACAAGACTTAGCTTAGTCATTCATAAGCATATTGACTGTTTACTTTGTGAATCATGATACTTCTTCAAACGATCAATCTCGTACTCATATGAATGAACAACAGCAATCACCACTGCAAGTCACATTTGTCAAGGACTTTAAAGATGCAAGATGCTCTCACATGCTTTATCTCATTTGTTTCTCTAAATAAATCGTGGTATTGGCCCTCATTTGACAGATGAGATAACTAAGGCTTGCACAATCACCTAGGTCAGTGGCATAGCCAAAGCTCAAGCCCTGTTGTTTTGTTCTTTGGCTCCAAGTGTGGTGCCTTATTGTTGGTTATCTATATCGTAATTCCCATTGGGTTGGACATGGACTGCACATTAATATTGATAGCTGTAATTTATTTTTTTAAAAAAAGCTAAAACTTAAAGTCCTTAAAGAGTATTACTTCCTTCTTGTCGCCTGGGTGGCCAATGACTAGAGAGAAAGAAGGAAGACAAATCTGCTGCTCCTTTCCCAATAGGCCAGTTTAGCAGACCTGTTAAGAGTGGGGAAGAAGTGGGGTGCCTGGGTGGCTCAGGCGGTTAAGCGTCTGACCTCGGCTCAGGTGATGATCTTGGGGTTCATGAGTGCAAGCCCCACATCAGGCTCTGTGCTGATAGCTCAGAGCCTGGAGCCTGCTTCCGATTCTGTGTCCCCTTCTCTCTCTGCCCCTCCCCTGCCTGCGTTCTGTCTTTCAAAAATGAATAATGGTAAAGAAAAATTAAAGAGTGGGCCAGAAGTTCTTTAGTACAATGAAGGAAACCATGGACTCTAGAGCATCCTTCCTGGGTCTGAATCCCAGTTCCTTCACTAATTAGTTACATGAGCTTTGAAAAGTCACCTCCCATCAACGCGCTTTAGTTTTCACACCTATTGATTCTGGATTATGATGGTACCTAACTCCTAGGTGGTTGTGATGTTAAAATGAAGAGTAAGAGAATAGAGCAGAAAACAACTGTATTGCAAATGCCTATAACATACATTGTACATGTAACTATGTTCTTGCAGGCTGCTTTGGAAAGACAGATAACTACTCGCAAAATTGTTTCTTACTGGAATAATATGCTTCTTGTTCCAAAAACATCTACTTCTAAATGAGGTGAGGGACAGCTATGCCATTCACAAATTATGAACATAAATTCGCAGTAATTTCTACCCTCCCCTACCACTCTAAAGAAAGCAATGTGATACGTGTCAAAAGCAAATCAAAATTACTTCTGGGTTCACCCTTGGTAGGCACATTTTATATCATCTTGTTCCACTGGTTCCCATCATTTCAAGCTGAAATAGAAATATCTTCAGCAAGGTACATGAAAACATATCACAGAAGCAGGAATCTATCTAAAATAGCCTCGATTAAGATTATAAATTCTTCTGTGATTCTCCTATGAATTTGAGAATTATTTTAAAACACAAATCATCTTCAAAAGCAATGTCCTTAGTAACCTTGAGGAATGAAAAGGGCGCGTAGTTGAAACAATATCAATCTGGCACCACTTTGGGAGAAAAAAAAATCGTCAGCCATGCTATGCTAACAGGTGGAGGAATAGGGGTCAGCATTCGGTCAACAGCAAGTCTGATCAATACTCCTGTTCTTTAGTCATACTATTAAAAAGCAGGCAGGGCGCTGGGGTGGCCTGAGTTCGAGCCCCACTTCGAGCTGTATGCCAACAGCTCAGAGCCTGGAGCCTGTTTCGGATTCTGTGTCTCTGTCTCTGCCCCTCCCCCACCCCTCAAAAATAAACGTTAAA